TTTTCTTCTAATAGCGGTCGCCCCTCGGCAGACACTAGCAAACCTCCGAGTGTATTTCATTTGTGCAAGCTGTTTCCTGCAGGGAACCTAAAGGCTTACCCATTCATACAGATGGTGAATGCGAATTTTTAAATATGCATTTACTATGTAAACATGTATGTATGTGCATATACTTTTTTATTATTTACTTTTTAATTGACTGTTCACCATAAAGCTTACTTATGTACGCTTGGACTTTGAGTGATTTTTATTTGCAATATGCTTTTCGCTTATGATCATTACATCCATATCGTACCGTTGCTGCAAGAGTATCATAACTCAAGAAAAACTGCTTAAAACCTACAGTTTACATACGCTCCCATTTTAAAAATCAAGACACATTTTCTTCTGTTGAGCTATTCTTAATCGATGCTGCTATTAACTTTTTACACAACATTCATTTCTGATTGCTTAACGCAAAAAAAAAACTTTTGAAAAAGACACTCTTAGAGCAAAACTACGATATGCATATAACTGTATGTACATTAAGGCGTATCACGAAAAAAGTTTATCGTGTGTCAGTTTCATTTGAATTCTTATGTCGAGAAACAAGTTTGGGTGTAAACATTTTTTTATGCACCCGCTAAAAACCGCTAAATCGCGTTTTTTTGCTATAATTTTCTTATTTGCTGTCCATTTTTTTTTTAATTTTTATGTCACCGAAAAGACTTCGCTCAAAGCTATAATTGAAGAAAGCCTAACCATTTTTAGCAAGGTCGTCATCGTTTTTTGAGAGCTTTAGATTTATAGTATAAAAATAACAAGTAATTTTTAAGCAAAAAACAAAAGCGACTTCAATTCTCATATAAAAATGTATTAGTACCGTTAAGTTCTTTATGACCAAATGATCGCAGCTAAACCAAATTAGTATGGGACCACCCTTGAGATAGAAAAAGAATTATCAAAATCGGTCGACGTAGTCCAACGCAACGAATCCGAACGTCACTGCTTCGAAAACGCAAGTACGCACACATCTGTTCGATTTTCTCGCAGTAAAAACTGTCAATTTATAGACAAACAAAAAATATTTTTCAACGGAAATAAAATTCTTAACTTTTCTACACCAAATATGTTTTGTTTCCTTGCGTTCACTTTTGTTTTTATATTGCAGAACCCTTCTATTGGCCTTTTTCGATTCGATTTGCTATTTCGGCACGACCAAAAGAAGAACTGTGAATATTCGAATAAATTGCTGCAGCAAAATCGTGTAAGTCATTTAAAACTATGATCGGCATTGTTGTAAATTTTGTCGGTACGGATTCGCACCGTCAGAATCGCATAGGTGTGAGGATACCTTTGTGCGGTAACATACATAAAGGAAAAAAAACAAAATATTCCGACGAATTGATAACCTCCTCCTTTTTTTGAAGTCGGTTAAAATTCTAGGGATATTGAGTAATTCCAAAAAGGTATAAATTAGAACGGTTTTGAAAGCCAAAACTGTTTAATGGCCAATTATAGTGCTGAGCGAGACCTTCTCAGCGACATAAAGATTTAAAAAATCGGATAAAAACTAAGAAAGTTATAGCAAAAAATGCGATCTAGCGGTTTTAGTCGGGTGCTTAAAAAAAATTTGTTTACACCCTAAATTTTCTCTCGTGTTTAAATAAACCTGAAACACGCTAAACTTTTTTTTCATTCATATGTCGTGATACGGCTTAATGTACATAACTGTGCCGTTCAAGTAAATAAGTTTAAGTGACTTTAGCACAGTGTTGGCCAGCGAAAGCTTTTATTTTGTGTCAGGCCTACACAAAGTGTACAGAAAGCTTTTAAAAGTTTTGGCACGCGTGCCTATGAAATGGCCAACATTGTTTTAGAAGGTTTGATTTGAATCAAAAAATTATCAGTTTCCCTGGAAAATATTCATATTTTTATTAAGGTTCTATTAAAGGGGAATCTTGAATAACACCTATGGCTATATAAAGGTTAAAACATTGTTTGGGAACCCGATGAATGTTAGTTTAAAGGGAAAAGGGATTATACCGATTTAGGCTACTTTAACTGAACGGCACAACGTTGTTTCTCTGATAAAAAAAGAAAAAAGTTCAAAACAATAAATTTATTTTCTTTGTACATACATATGTATGTATCATACATACATATGAAACTAACGACCGAGAATTTATTGACCTTGAACTTGATAAGCTTAACTGTTTGGAGATACCCAACGTGAATTTTTTGAGTCGTTTTGTTTCGAATACTCATTTGATTTAAACATATGTATGTATATGTATATAACTATATAGATATATGTATGTATGTATGTACAGTGTATAGATACTACTCATCATACAGCCGCCTCAGTAACTTGCAGGGTCTAAACTTGAATACTTATGTACATATATGTATGTAGATGCATTCTAGAGTAATACCACCAGCTAAGTACACCTATCTACTATGTATATCTACAAAATCTATATGAATTAGACGAACTGATAAGAGGCAAACAGATAGTTGACGCGTGACTTTGTTTAATTGTGGCCCCAAAGAAAATTTCTAGCCAATTTCACACAAAATTGTGCAATTACTAACAAAGCCATTGAACATGCATACACATGTATTTGATTAGAAATACATGTACATACATGCACACACAGGTGTTTAGTTTGCTATATATCTAGGTATTTGCATTCATTACACCAACAACTTTTCTTATCATCGTCATTATGAATGAAGTGCATACTTATGTGCTTAGCATACAATCGATGCCATAAAATAAAAAACTGTCGGATCATAGTGACTGATTCAGTTTGTTTTGTAAAATCAACGAAAAATGAAGTGTTGCTGCGTGGCGAATGCTAGCCAACTGATCGCTATCGCGACAATTGCATTTATGGCTATATCGACAGGTGTCCAGCCAGCGCACAGTGCAAATATACTGGGTGTTTTTTCTCAGTCCCAGCCCGTCTCATTTAATCGTACACATGTCGATTATGAAAACACTGGCTGAGCGGGGTCACAATGTCACTGTCGTCACCGGGCAAAAGCCAAAGGTGAATCATGAAAAGATACATAATATTATAATTAAGCCGGCGGAGGCGCTTAAACGAGAAATGAATGAAGAATTGGCCGGCTTGGGTGCGAAAAAACAAAGTATGCTGGAAATGTTGACGAGAGTGATAACTGCCGATACTGTAATGTTTACTATACAACTGGATGTACTCAAGAATGAACGATTGCAAGAGATCTACGAAACCAATTATGATTTGGTCATTATGGGCTACTTCATGAACAACTTTCAATGGATTGTTCCTGCCAAACTAAATTGCCCGATGATACTCAGTTGGACGGGACAGCCGATGGAGATGATTAATGAATTAGTGGGGGTACCGCACGAGGCATCTTATGTACCGAATGTATTTATGCCGTACAAAAAAGGAGAGGTTATGAACTTCAGCTCACGTCTGTTTAATCTTTTTGGCAGCACAGCATTTCGTTTATTCACATCGATATTGGATATTAGTTTGGCGGCGCGCTACAAGTAGGTGAAATCAAATTGCGGTGCGTTGAATTGGTAAAAACATTTCTTTTGTTTTTGAAACTTGCAGAGAACTGGCTGCAGGCGATATCAATATCCGTACATATTCCCAGATGAAAGAAAATGTTTCGTTAATCTTTTGCAATAGCCATTTTAGTGAGGGGCCTATACGGCCGCTGGTGCCAGGAATTGTTGAGATCGGTGGCATACGAATCAAAGACAAACCGGACCCATTGCCAAAGGTAAAAATAATAGTTGCGATCCCGTACGAGTCCGGACTAGTCAAAAATAGTCAGCATAAGTCGGTTCTCTGACACTGAGAGGACAAACAAGAGAGTAAATAAAGGCCTCTCTCTGTCAGAAGTTACCCTTTTTAGTCCGAAGATTTTTTGCTGGTAAATTCCGGTAAATGTGTCAAACGATCAGCTGTAGCGTGTTAGACAATCAAATTGTAAACAAAAGAAAGTGCACTCTGCTAATGCATGTTTAAAAGTATTTAATTACTGGTTTAAGTGCATTCTATAGAATTTGCAAGTATTTTTAGTTATTTACATGTGTGAGCTGAATGTCTTTACATACAAAATAAGCAAAAATTTACTACCAAAATTTGGAGGTTATGTTGAAGTGGCCAGATGCTACAATTTTTTACTAGAAAGCGATACAGTGGTTTTCAGTGATACTCTCTCGCTCTGCGTAAATTATTATGTTTTGATGGTTTTACTAGTTTTAGTCCGAGGAACACGGGATTGGACCTAATACTTTAAAATTTCACTTCATTGAAAAAAAAACTCCAATAAACCAATTGATTTTCAAAACCTGCTTATTTCTCAGAACCTTGCAGACTTTCTGAATGCCTCCAAACCAAATGGTGCCGTACTCTTTAGTTTGGGTTCCAATATGAAGGGTTCCAACGTACAACCGGCTACAGTGCAAATCGTCTACAAAGTACTTTCCTCGCTCAAACAAAATGTGATTTGGAAATGG